GGGAGGGTGGGGAGGAAACGCGCGGGGTGGGGAGGGGGCGGGGGGCAGCTCCAGGAGGGCCATCACAGGGGCGCGGTGGGTCCCCTCCTACCGAGACCAGGGGTGGCGGGCTTATTTCCACAGGAACCAGGGGTGGCCGCGGGCCGGCTCCCGCGGGGACCACTATCAGAGCTGGCCGCGTGTGCCTCCCACAGAGACTAGTGATGGCCATGCGCGGGCTCCCCTGGGGCGTAGTAGTGGCTCTGGGCCTGCTCTAACAGGGACCAGCAGAGACCTTGGGTCCACTCCCACGAGGTGCTGAAAGGGGATATGAGCCTCATTTTCCACAGCAATCTGTGAAGAGACCTCAGTCCCCAGGAAGCCCTGGATTCCTTACTGGTCATATTCCAGGGGACGTGGCATGGTCAGTTTCAAATTCGTTTCCACACCCTGGCAACCCTAAAACTACCCAGAGGAGGAAAATGTAAGGACTGTGTGAAACCCATTTAGGGGAACCGGTGTCCCTCAGGAGCACAGCCAGCTGGGAGCCACCTACATGGCAGGGAGAAGCCTGGAGCTGCATGGGCTATCGCTGGGATGGATCCCAAACAGAACGTGTGGACTGAGAAAAGAAGGACACTGAAGAGGACCTATGGCAAATGGCATCTGTGTAAATTTAAACACACACCCCCCCCCACCAAACTGTGCTAAGTATTTTACAAAGGCATGTTTAAAAACATGGAACATTAAAGTGGGTTCCCATATTTTAATTAACCTTTGAACTTGATTTTCTCTCACCCCCAAAATACCCTTAAAGCCCTATGAGGAAGTAGAAATGAGGGGAAACTAAGATGCCATGAGCATCATTAGTGGACATTCTCCCAGCTCTGCTCTGTGCAGGACAGCTGACCTCCAGACTTCAGTAAATAAAATGCAGTCCTGAGAAGAGACACTTGGCTAGAAAGCCTTCTCCCACGGTGACCTTCTTTCCCACTCACACTCTCCAAAAGGACTGAAGATCTTGCTCTTCCTCACCTTCCCAACCACCAGTCAAGCAGGCCCCATCACTGTTTAAAGACAAAAGCAATCTGCATATATTAATATTCTACTGAACAACTTAAAACACTTTCAAAGAGGATTTCACAGGCAAACAGGGTAGGGGACAAGTTGCACAGAGCTGGCACAACCATTTGCCAGGCAATTTTAGAAAAAGAATTTTGTGTGTATTTGTGATATGTTTCATACACACTGGGAAGAGGAAATACAAAAAAGCAGTATATGGTGTATAGTACAGAAAGAGGGCTGGTACTGGCCGGTGATCTCCTTTTCACCTTGACTATGGAATATTAAAGGCTAAATGTGAGCAGATGCACTTCACTGGTTTTACAATGGCAACTTTAGCCTGGATCTGGAAAACAATGGTGCTAAGCAGAATTGTAAACTGGCAGCCCCATGGGCTAAATATCATCCATAGATGTATTTTCTTTAGGTCACACAGTGTTTTCTGTTTTTGTTTTTAATTGAGCCACCCTTGTTAGAATTGGGAGCTTGCATATAAAAGGAGGAATTTTTGATATCTGTTGAAAAATGAGAGATCTAACAATATTAAGCTTCCATTCCCAGGTTGACTGGAACTAAGAAGCAGCTGCCCCCTTTAAATGGGTCGTGAATGCTCCAATTTGTGACAGTGGTTGAAGGCTCACTTCAATTCCTTCATGACCTCAATCCACATTTCTGTTTTTAGAAGAAATTGAAATTTTCCTTATGTAAAATAAGTTCAGAAGTAAGTATTCTGAGTCTAACATAGTGGTTCCACAGTTACTAGAAAACCAGTGTTCCCTCTCTCTATTCCAGCACTGTTACATTTGACTGCTAGTTTCAAGATGGCCTCAAGGTACATCACAGCTGCTGCAGCCCCACCCACCGCATTCACATTCCAGGCAGTAAAGGAAGGGCAAAAATGGCACACTCGAAATGATGCATTTCAATTTAAGGGATCTTACTGGAAATTTATACAGCCCTTATGCCTTTTTCTTATTGGCCAAATGATCATTTCTTGCATCTAAGGAAACAGGGAAATGCAGTTTGTTAGGTGGGCATATTGCCACTCTGAATAAAATTATAGTTATTACAGAAAAATAGAATAGGTTTGAACTAAGTTATCTCTGCCATAGTAACCTAAATTAATAGGGGCTGGCCAGTTAGCTTACTTGGTAGAGCATGGTGCTGGTAACACCAAGGTCAAGGGTTTGGATCTCTGTACCAGCCAGCTGCACCCCCAAATAGATTAAAGGAGGAAAATTGAATGATCCTGACAATCAGTACAATAAGATCATTCGATAAAATTCAACACTCATTCCTGATAGTAGAAAATAAATAAAAAGGAAAGAAGAAAGAAAGGCACTAGGGAGGGAGGGAGGAAAGGAAAAAGAGAAAGAGGGAGGGAAAGAAAGAAGAAAGGAAGGGAGGACCCCAAAATTTAGTAGTAGTAGGAACTAGAAAGACCCTTAAAAGCTCTGTATTTTTAATTCTTTCTGGTAAAAATTACCTGACTCTGAGATTCTTTCTTTTCTAGTCCCTTTATAGCTTATGAGAGGTTGAACCAGGTGCAGAACTGCTCTCCAAGGGACTTTTGGAAATTTGGTGGTGTAGAAGGAAATTTGTTGTCAAAATGACTAAGGAATGCTATCAGTATTTCATTATGAGGCCAAGAACGTTTAACACTGCAATGGATAGTACAGCCCCGCCCAGACAAAAATTTTTCTTCCACAAACGCCAGTAGATACCTGAATTAGTCAGGGTTCTCCAGAGAAACAGAACCAGGGGGAGATTTATGTACATAAGCGAAGATTTATTATGAGGAATAGGCTCATGTGATTACAGAGGCTGAGAAGTCCCCCAGTCTGTGACGCAGAAAAACTGGTGACATAATTCAATCTGAGTCTGAGGCCTGAGAATCAAGGGAGCTGATGGTGTGAATTTCAGTCTAGGGGCAGAGGAGATTAGATGAGATGTCCCAGCTCAAGCAGCAAGGTCAGGGGAAGGGAATAAAGGGGAAAAAATGCCTTTTCTTCTACCTTTTGTTCTTTTCAGCCCCTCAGTGAAATGAATGAGCCCCAACCACATTGATGAGGGCCACCTACTTTACTGAGCCCACCCATTCAAATGCTAACCTCATCCAGAAACACCCTCACAGACACACCCCAGAAACAATGTTTTATCTGGGCACCACATGTCCCAGTCAAGTTGACACATAAAATTAACTGTGACAATACCCCTTCCTCATAGTTGAGAAACATTGGACGTTATGAATGCTTTTTTTGTTTTCCAAAACAAAAATATTTTTCTACCATTGGGCATGGCCTTCTGTCCTCTAGACAGCATCATTCCCTAGCCCCAGGCTTCCTGTGGTTGGCATAACAAATTACCACACACTGGATGGCTAAAACAACACACTTTTTTTCTCACACAGTTCTGGAGGCCAGAAGTCCAAAATCAAGGTGTCAGCTGGGCTCTGTAGCCTCAGGCGAGAATCTGTTAGCTGTTTCTTCCAGCTTCTGGTGGCTGTCAGCATCCCTTGACTTGTGGCCACATCACTGCAATATCGGCCTCCCTGCACATTGCCTCCTCCTCTTCTGTCAAATATCCCTTTGCAAGTTTCTTACAAAGGCACTTGTCATTGGATTTAGGGCATGCTGGATAATCAAGGATGATTTTCTTCTCTCGATATCCTTATTTTAATTACAGCAAAAAAAAAAAAAAACCCTTTTTCCAAAAAGTTCACAGCTATGGTTTGAATGTTTGTGTCCCCTCCAAAATTCATGTTGAAACTTTATCCCCCATACAACAGTATTAAGAGATAGGGCCTTTTGGTGGTGACTTAGGCCATAAGTGCTCTGTGCTCAGGAATAGGATTAGAGTCTTATAAAAGGGCTTAGGCTGGCCAGTTATTCAGTTGGTTAGAGCACAGCCTTTTAA